GAGCGTGCCACTGCACTCCAGTCTGGGCAACAGAGTGAGACTGCAACTCAAAAAAAAAAAAGAAAGAAACCCTGCGTGAGTGGGAACCAAAGGGAGGCCCAAATGTTACCTGTATGATGACTACTTGTATACCTAATCCTGAATTATACCCCACATCCTTAAAATTAAAAAGAAAAGAAAGCCAGGTGTGGTAATCCCAACACTGTAGCCCCAGCCAGGCGTGGTAATCCCAACACTGTAATCCCAGCATTTTGGGAGGCAGAGGTGAGAGGATTGCCTGAGTCCAGGGGTTTGAGACTAGTCTGGGCAACTTGGCAAGACCTCATCTCTACAGTAAATGAAAAAATTAGCCAGGTGTGGTGGCATGCACCTGTGATTCCAGCTACTTGGAAGGCTGAGGCCGAAGGATCACCTGAGCCCAGCAGGTCGAGGCTGCAGTGGCCATGAGCGTGCCACTGCACTTCATCCTGGGCAACAGAGATTCAGAAAAAAAAAAAAAGAAACCCTGCATGATTTGCAGTTTTTTTGTTTGTTTGTTTGAGTTGGAGTCTCACTCTGTCACCCAGACTGGAGCGCAGTTTCCGCTCCCGGCCATCGCAGCCTCAACCTGCTGGGCTCTGGCTATCCTTCCGCCTCAGCCTTCCAAGTAGCTGGAACTACAGGCGCGCGCTACCACGCCCGGCTAATTTTTTTTTGTTATTATTTATTGTAGAGATGAGGTCTCGCCAAGTTGCCCAGGCGGGTCTCGAACCCGGGGCTCAGGCAATCCACTCACCTCGGCCTCCCAAAGCATAGGATTACAGGCTAAGCCACCGAGCCCTGCCGATTTGCAGTTTTAAACAATTGTGGTGTCACACTGGGTGTGACTCTTAGACCTGGGGAAGGACCCAGGGAAATGGAGGCACAGAGAGGGAAGAGAAAGAAAATAAACAACATTTCCTAAGCATTTGCCTTACATTTTATCTGATAATCCCCACAAAAACTATATAAAAGTGTTATCTGTTTTATAGATAAGGAAACCAGGACTCAAACATAAAGGACTTAAAAAAAAAAAAAAAAAAAGAAAAGATAGAGGACTCCACCAAGACCACATAGTTATAAGTGCTAGAGTCAGAACTGGCCCCAAGTCTCCCTAAACTCAAAATCTCTTAACTTTCCAAAATATCTCCTACTAGTAAGATGCCAAACCTTGTCTCAGTCTCTTTTCACTGAGCTATCTGGGAGGACCAAAGACACACTAACTCAAGAACATGCCTCTCAACATTTCTGAGGCAGTAGGTCAGCACATTTACCATAAACTGAGTCACGGGTGCTGAAAAGAGGAGCACTCAGGGAACTGAAGTCCATCAAAACAGAACATAGATGCTCTTTGCCTATTCTTTCCCAGAAGATTTTGAGCCAAGTCCTGAAATGGACAAAAGGATTAAGTTGCTTAAGAAAAGCCCTTCCTGACCAGAGAAAAAAACGAGTTCAAAGGCATAAACATCCCATTCATTTTCTTCATTCCCTGCCTTAACACAGCACTGGACCAGGGAGCTGCTGTTTATAGCAAGCTTCAGCCCCCACCTGTCGAGTGGTAGCTCCCTCACTGCAGCTTCCTTCTTTTCCAGGACATGCCCCAGCCACGGCTTGCTCTCAACTGTGTCGGTGGGAAAAGCTCCACAGAGCTGCTACGGCAGTTAGCGTAAGTCCCTCAGCCCTGCAGGTCCAGCTCACCAGAACTCTCCAGGTCTTTAGCTGGGAGGACCATCAAGTGACCAAGGCCAGGTCAGCACAATGTTGAGTAGAAACTAGGACTAGCTGTCTGGTACTTCTTTCTCAGCCTTCTCCTTGGTAGGCAACCCAGAGGCCTGTTCAGCTTTATTTCTCCAAGGAACCCCAGAAGTAGACTGTTAAGCTCTCTGCCATAGGGGAGTGATCAAAGATTCATAATCGAGGAGCATCTTAAAAAGTCACTTAGTCTTAACTTATTAGCTTTTATGATTTGTATTCGCTTTTAAAAGTAGATTATAATTTTAGAGGTAACATTTATGCCTATTATAGAACATTCTGGAAGCATGTAAAAGTACAAAGAAAAACTTAAGCAAGTCAGACTCAGTGGCTCAGCCTGTAATCTCGCGCTTTGGGAGACTGAGGTGAGTGGATTGCCTGAGCCCGCGGGTTCGAGACCCACCTGGGCAATTTGGCGAGACCTCATCTCTACAATAAATCAAAAAATTAGCCGGGCGTGGTAGCACGCGCCTGTAATTCCTGCTACTCGGAAGGCTGAGGCAGGAGGATCCCCGGAGCCCAGCAGGTCGAGGCTGCGGTGGCGGGGACCAGCCACTACACTCCAACTAAAAAAAAAAATAAAGTTATCTATCATTCCACCCCCGAGGGGGATAAGCACAATTACATTGGTAACTATATGTGTCCCTCCATTCTTTTTTCCTTTCATATAAATTTTTTGAGTTAGAGGGGAAATTAGTCCATTTTGCATTGTTATAAAGTAATACTTGCAACTTGGTAATTTATAAAGAGAAAAGGTGTATTTGGCTCCCAGTTCTGCATGGTACTAGCATCTGCCCAGCTTCTGGTGAGGCTTCAGGTAGCTTTTACCCATGTTGGAAGGTGACGGGAACCTGCAGGAGAACAGGCATGTCACATGGCAAGAGTGGAGGTGAGAGTGAGAGAAGGTGATGCCAGGTGCTTGTAAACAGTCAGTTCTCGTGTAAACTAATAAAGGGAGAACGGCATCAAGCCATTCATGAGGGATCCGCCACCATGACCCAGTTACCTACTGCTAGGCCCCACCTCCAACACTGGAGAACATTTCAGTGTGAGGTTTGTAGGGGACGATAACCCACACTATATCAGAGGGCACCTGAAAAGACACTTCTTAACTAAAGCAGGAATCCCAACACCGTTAATTCCAATAGCATGCACCTGCTGAGCATTTACCAGCTACTAGGCACAGAGCTAGCTGAGACACTGAACTCCCCTCTGAGAACTCTCAGGCTAGCTGGGCAGTTATGTAGCCAGAGGGCTGTGATGAGGGTCACTGAGCATTTACCTTGTGCCAGACTGTGTGCAGTTCTTGACTTATTCCCCTCCACCCACACACATACCCTAAACTAGGGAGGCCATTCCAATCTCTGTTTTACACTTAAAGCAAATGAGACCCAGAGAGAGGAAGTGCCTGACCCAAGATCTGGTCAACAGGACAACCAAGTTTGACCCCAAGTTTGCCTGATTCCAGAGCATACTCTTCAGCCCTACATCAGGCAGCCACTGCAGCAGACGGTGATAGCAGTGTCATCTTACATGTAAAATGCCTGGCACATAATAGATACCCAATAAGTGTTAGCTACTCTGATTCAACCAAGCACAGTGGGAGACAGAAGAAAGAGGGCTTAATTTCCAGGAACTGCTTTCTGAAGCAGGTGGCAGTTGAGGAGCACTTAAGACCAAACTACCAAGCCAGGCTTGGTGACTCATACCTATAATCCCAGTACTTTGGGAGGCGAAGGTGAGAGGATTACCTGAGCTCAGAGGTTTGAGACCAGCCTGGGAAACTTGGTGAGACCTCGTCTCTGCAATAAATCAAAAAATTAGCCAGGTGTGGTGGCAAGTGCCTGTAGTTCCAGCTACTTGGAAGGTCGAGGGCTGCGGTGGCTGTGAGTATGCCACTGCGCTCCAGCCTGGGCGACAGAGTGAGACTCCGACTCAAAAAAAAAAAAGACATGGCCGGGCACAATAGCCCACGCCTATAATCCGAGCACTTTGGGAGGCTAAGGTGAGAGGATTACCTGAGCTCACAGGTTTGAGACCAGCCTGGGCAACCTCGCAAGACCTCATCTCTACAATAAATCAAAAAATTAACCGAGTGTAGTGGTGCACACCTGTAGTTCCAGCTACTTGGAAGGCTGAAGCAGAAGGATCACCTGAGCCCAACGGGTCAAGGCCGCAGTGGCTGTGAGCATGCCACTGCACTCCAACCTGGGTGACACAGTGAGACTCCAACTCAAAAATAAAAAAAGACCAAACTGCCCAGCAGCCTCAGGGAGAGCCCTGCCTGCCCTGCACAGCAGCTTCTTCAATTGATCATTTTCACAGTCTTCCTTGTGTTGTCCCAAAATGTGCCTGAAGTCATCCTTGATCAACAGAGTCCTAAAAGAGCCAGGGAGGGGAACACAGGTGAAGTTGAACATGTGAAGTTCAGGCTTATTAGCTCTTAACAGTTGTGCTAGTCTCATTCCTGTTTGTCTGCTGAGGTGGGGGTGTGTTTATCTGACAAGTACCTCCTGCAGTGAGAGGACACTTGTCATTATTATCTCTACACTGTCCAATCATTCCTTGTCTGTAGAGCTGTTTTCTCACACTGATCCTTAGAATGAGTATTCACAGATGAAGAAACATGGTCTGGACTGTCTTCAGTACATTGCTCAAGGTCACATACCTGTGAGTGGGAGTAGAGCCCGGGCTCAACTCAGGTCTTGAGCTCTTTTCTGGAGAGCATCTTTCCTTGCAGCTCAATTTTTTTTTTTTTTTTTTTTTTTTTTGAGTTTGGAGTCTCACTTTATCACCCAGGCTAGAGTGCAGTGGCATGTTCACATGCCCACTGGGCTCAGGTGTTTCTTCCACTTCAACCTTCCAAGTAGCTGGAACTATAGGGAACTGCAGGTATACACTACCACACCCAGCTGATTTTTTGATTTATTATAGAGATGAGGTCTCAGCCAGTCACGGTGGCTCATGCCTATAATCCCAGCACTTTTGGGATACCAAGGTGAGAGGATTGCCTGGGTAACTTGGCCAGACCTTATCTCTACAATAAATAAATAAATAAGTTAGTTAGTCTGGCATGGTGGTGTGTGCCTGTAGTTCCAGCTACTTGAAAGGCTGAGGCTAAAGGATCACCTGAGCCCAGCAGGTTGAGGCTGTGGTGGCCGGGAGCATGCCACTGTCCTCCAGCCTGGGTGACAGAGTGAAACTCAAACTCAAAAAAAAGAGATGTCTTACCAACTTCCCCAGCCTGATCTTGGGCTCAGGCAGTCCTCTCGCCTCCACCTCCCAAAGTGCTGAGATTACAGATGAGAGCCACCATGCTTGGTGTATGTTGTTTTTAATACACCTTCTAGCCTCCTTATACATTAGGTCAGGGACTGAGCCTAGGAATCTGTATTTTCAGCCCTTCCTAGAGATTCTGAGAGTAAGGCTTAGGAACAGGGTTGGAATACTTTTTTTTTTTTTTAAGTCAAGGTCTCACTCTGTTGGCCAGGCTTGAATGCAGTCATACAATCACAGCCTACCATAGTCTCAAACTCCTGGACTCACACGGTTCTTCTGCCTCAGCCTCCCAAGTAGCTGGGGCTACAGGCCCATGTCACCTCACCCAGCTACTTTTTAAATTTTTTTGAGCCGGGCACAGTGGCTCAAGCCTGTAATCCCAGCACTTTGGGAGGCTGAGGCAAGAGAATTGCCTGAGCTCAGGGGTTCGAGACTGGCCTGGGCAACTTGGCGAGACCTCGTTTCTACAATAAATCAAAAAATTGGCCAAGTGTGGTAATGCGTGCCTATAATCCCAGCTACTTGGGAGGTGAGGCAGAAGGATCACCTGAGCCCAGCAGGTCAAGGCTGTGGTGACCATGAATGTACCACTGCACTCCAGCCTGGGCGACAGAATGAGACTCCAACTCAAAAAAAAAAACTTATCACTATGTTGCCCAGGCTGGTCTCAAACTCCCAGGCTCAAGCAATCCTCTTGTCTCTGCCTCCCAAAGTGCGAGATTACAGGCATGAGCCATTGCACTGCCTCCCAGAGTTGGAATAGAAGTACCATGGCAGGCTCAAGCAGGTCTATGCTGCACCCACTCTTTGTTCTCCCTGATCTCTTCAGGCCTGGAGGAACCATGGTGACCTACGGCGGAATGGCCAAGCAGCCCATCATAGCCTCTGTGGTAAGCTGGTGGAGGAGGCATGCCTGAAGACAGGGGCCAGACACCTCAACAGGCCTCTTTCCCAACATCTGGGGGTACACACTACCCCCAGGCGGTGCCAAAGTTTTTGCTGTCAGAGCCCAGCATGTCTTTCCTGTGTCCACAGAGCCTGCTCATTTTTAAGGATCTCAAACTTCGGGGCTTTTGGTTGTCCCAATGGAAGAAGGACCACAGTCCAGGTGAGTGGATAGCCCCAGTGCCAGGGTTCAAAGGAGAATGGCAGCAGAAGCAACCAGCTCCTCTGAGCCCTGGAAGAGTGACTGGGTCCCCAGCCCCACAATAGGAGCAAGGAAAATAGCCTTAACCCAGTTGCAGTCAGCAAATCATTATTGGACTAAACTGGGTTAGGCTTTGGGAGCACAGTATTGAACAAGACAGATACTGTCCCAGTTTGAGGAGCTGACAGTGGATAAAACAGCCAAGCAAAGAGGACAGGCTCTGGAGCCAGCCTGCCTGGGTTCAAATCCTGCTTCTACCACTACTAGAAAGAGGTTCTGCCTAGCCAGTGATGAGACCTTGGGCAGATTACTTAATCTCTGCCTCAGTTTAAGTGTCGTAAATTTAAACTCTTGGTCAGGCATGGTGGCTCGAGCCCAGGGGTTTGAGACCAGTCTGAGCAACATGGCAAGACCTTACTCTACAATAAACCAAAAAAATTAGCTGGGTGTGGTGGTGCACGCCTGTGGTTCCAGCTACTTAGAAGGCTGAGGTGGAAGGATCACCTGAGCCCAGCAGGTCGAGGCTGTGGTGGCCGTGATCATGCCACTGCACTCCAGCCTGGGAGTCAGATTGAGACTCCGGCTCAAAAAAATAAAAAATAAGCCTTTGTTAGCCCTGTTTGACAGATGAGGAAGTTGAGGTTCAGAGGTTAAGTAGTTTGCCCAAAGTCACCCCCACCTAGAGAGTGGTGCAGCCAAGATGTGGACAGATGGTCTCCCTGACTCCAGAATCAGAGCCAGGGCTCTGTCCTTCCTCTCCTGGAGGACTGGCTCCCCAGAGTGTGACCCCAAGCTGAGAGTGAAGAATGACATGGAGTTATACAAGTGAAAGGGAGGAAAGTGGCGGCATGAATGAAGTATTTCAGGCAGAAAAAGTCAGCTGTGCAAAAAGCCCATCATAGAATATGAGTATGACTCACCAGGCACCAACATGCTTATAAGTGACTTGAAACACTAGGACTGACCTGGGACTGGGAAGCTGGTTGGGTGGGTTGTGACCAGATTACAGAAGGCCTTTTAAACCTGCTTAAGGCATTCAGACTCTATCTTAAAGGCAACTGAGGAGCCACTGAAGTGTTTTTAAGCAAGAAATGTGATTAGATTTGAAGGTTAAATTAATTCATATCTGTGGAAAGAACACTTCTCAGCCAAGGCCTTCATTTCTTATCTTCCTGTGCCATATTGGGTCTTTAGCAGCAGGCAGGCCCAGAGAGGGGATGTTGGTGGCCTAAGGTCGTAGGGCTCTAAGGGAGTCCTGAGCTTTCAGACAGAGCTCCTTTCCCTGAGCAGAGCTTGTCTGTTCTACTCACTTGGTATGCCTGGCAAGCCCCTCTTCTCCTTGTGCCTCTTCTGACTTCCCTGCCTCAAAGTCATCCTGCCCTTCCACCATTCAGTGCTCCCAGCTGTACCCCAGCCAGGTTCTGTGGGTCTGCACCATCCTAGCCACCACTCGAAAGGGTAGTCTCTGTCTGCCCACCCACTTGCCCATCCAGCCCCTAGGGCCACTCACCATGTTCCTCTGCCCCAGCTGGCCCTCACCATCCTGAGCACATACGGGGACCAGGCTGCCTCCATAGCCATCCTATCCTTGGCACAACCAGGGCCCTCAGGGCTTTACCAGAGCTCAGCACCAGCTCTTACCCACAGAACAGCCCATGTGCCACCTTACCAGGCCCCAGCTACTATCCCCTGTCTGATTTCCTCCACCTCCCGCAGACCAATTCAAGGAGCTGATCCTAACACTGTGTGATTTCATCCGCCGAGGCCAGCTCACAGCCCCTGCCTGCTCCATGGTCCTGCTGCAGGACTACCAGCATGCCTTGGAAGCCTCCATGAAGCCCTTCGTGTCTTCAAAGCAGATTCTCACCATGTGATCATCCCAGAGCCAGAATGAACTGGGAGAGAGGCGGATCCATGGGACCCATTACAGGCCCCTCAGTCAGGGACCCAACCTTCCCCTGACTGCTCCTCTCCTCGCTACCTCTTCCTGTTAGGAGGATTATGAAACCAACCAAGTCTTCCCCTGGTGCCAGGCTTAGGGTGTCTAATAAAATCTGAACATCCTAAAAAAAAACAGAAGTCATCCTAGTGGAGAAGGACCATCACTGTGTACCTGCCATCTCACAGCACTAAGCTGCTCCCTCCCTTTTCCTTCATTTGTTTCCCCAGTAATCCTTTTCTGACCACCCTGAAAATAAAGCCTGGGTGGGTGCTGGCAGGCACAAAAGCCAGTAAGCCACTTCTACTACCCTCATGAAGAATCTTGGAGAAAAAAACACTTTGACTAGCTTCTCAGGTAGGGGAGAGGATTAGCTGCACAGAAGAGTGAATGCCAGGCTGAGGTCCTCAGACCCCTGAGGAACTGAGGACATGGGGTCTCAGGTAGCTGGACTACCCTCATGGAACTTCCATTCTACCTAAGGAGATAGGCGACACTCCAGTGACTCTCAACTGGAGGCAGTTTTACCCCCAGGGGACATTTGGCAAGTCTGGGGATATTTTTGGTTGTCACAACTTGAGGAGGGAGTTGCTACCAGCATCTAGTGGACAGAGGTCAGTGATGCTTTAAACATTCTGGCCAGGCATGGTGACTCACGCCTATAATCCCACCATTTTCAGAGGCCTAGGTGAGAGGATTGCCTGAGCCCATGGGTTCGAGACCAGCCTGGGCAACTTGGCGAGACCTCATCTCTACAATAAATTAAAAAATAATAATAATAATTAGCTGGGCATGGTGGCACATGCCTGTAGTTCCAGCTACTTAGAAAGCTGAGGCAGAAGGATCGCCTGATCACAGCAAGTCAAGGCTGCGATGACTGGGAGTATGCCACTGCACTCTAGCCTGGGTGACAGAGTGAGACTCCAACTCAAAAAAATAAATAAAATTAAACATCTTACAGTACACAGTCTTCCACAAATCAACCATAGTGCCGTTGTGAAACCTGCATTAAACAGTCCCACAAGCCGGGCTTGGTGGCTCAGCCTGTAATCCCGCGCCTTTGGGAGGCTGAGGTGAATGGATTGCCTGAGCCCGCGGGTTCAAGACCCGCCTGGGCAGCGAGACCTCATCTCTACAATAAATCAAAAAATCAGCCGGGCGTGGTAGTGCATGCCTGTAATTCCAGCTACTTGGAAGGCTAAGGCGGAAGGATCGCCGGAGCCCAGCAGGTCGAGGCTGCGGTGGACGGGAGCGGCCTCTGCACTCCAGTCTGGGCGACAGAGTGAGACTCCAACTCAAAAAAATAAATAAAATTAAACATCTTACAGTACACAGTCTTCCACAAATCAACCATAGTGCCGTTGTGAAACCTGCATTAAACAGTCCCACAAGCCGGGCTTGGTGGCTCAGCCTGTAATCCCGCGCCTTTGGGAGGCTGAGGTGAATGGATTGCCTGAGCCCGCGGGTTCAAGACCCGCCTGGGCAGCGAGACCTCATCTCTACAATAAATCAAAAAATCAGCCGGGCGTGGTAGTGCATGCCTGTAATTCCAGCTACTTGGAAGGCTAAGGCGGAAGGATCGCCGGAGCCCAGCAGGTCGAGGCTGCGGTGGACGGGAGCGGCCTCTGCACTCCAGTCTGGGCGACAGAGTGAGACTCCAACTCAAAAAAATAAATAAAATTAAACATCTTACAGTACACAGTCTTCCACAAATCAACCATAGTGCCGTTGTGAAACCTGCATTAAACAGTCCCACAAGCCGGGCTTGGTGGCTCAGCCTGTAATCCCGCGCCTTTGGGAGGCTGAGGTGAATGGATTGCCTGAGCCCGCGGGTTCAAGACCCGCCTGGGCAGCGAGACCTCATCTCTACAATAAATCAAAAAATCAGCCGGGCGTGGTAGTGCATGCCTGTAATTCCAGCTACTTGGAAGGCTAAGGCGGAAGGATCGCCGGAGCCCAGCAGGTCGAGGCTGCGGTGGACGGGAGCGGCCTCTGCACTCCAGTCTGGGCGACAGAGTGAGACTCCAACTCAAAAAAATAAATAAAATTAAACATCTTACAGTACACAGTCTTCCACAAATCAACCATAGTGCCGTTGTGAAACCTGCATTAAACAGTCCCACAAGCCGGGCTTGGTGGCTCAGCCTGTAATCCCGCGCCTTTGGGAGGCTGAGGTGAATGGATTGCCTGAGCCCGCGGGTTCAAGACCCGCCTGGGCAGCGAGACCTCATCTCTACAATAAATCAAAAAATCAGCCGGGCGTGGTAGTGCATGCCTGTAATTCCAGCTACTTGGAAGGCTAAGGCGGAAGGATCGCCGGAGCCCAGCAGGTCGAGGCTGCGGTGGACGGGAGCGGCCTCTGCACTCCAGTCTGGGCGACAGAATGAGACTCCAACTCAAAAAAAAAAAAGTCCCACAGTAATTACCATAATGATTAATGCTGTAAAGAAGTGGACCAGGTGTGCTGGCTCATGCCTGTAATCCCAGCACTTTGGGAGATTAGAGGATTGCCTGAGCTCAGGGTTTGGAGACCAGCCTGAGCAACATGGCGAGATGTTGTCTCTACGATAAGTTAAAAAATTAGCTGGGCATGGTAGCACATACCTGTAGTTCCAGCTACCTGGAAGGCTGAGGTGGAAGGATCACCTGAACCCAGCAGGTCAAGGCTATGGTGGCCGTGAGCATGCCACTGCACTCCAGCCTGGGCGACAGAGTGAGACCCCGACTCAAAAAAAAAAAAAAGACATGGGAGGTGCTGAGAGCACGGCTAAGGTCTTGCCCTAGGCCTGGGGTCAAGGGGGAACCTTCTTTGAGGTAAAGTTTGAAGGTGGACCCTAACCAGTAAGTGGACTTTATTCAGGCAAAGAGAAGAGCTTGACAGAATGTGACTTTTTGGTGTTTGCTTCATGATTCACTGGCCCCAAGCAAAGAACAGAGATGAGGGATATCTCCCTTATCACCTGGCCCTCTGTACCCTTAATGTAACGCAAGAGCCTCATCCAAACCAGGCTCCGTGACTCAGTTTGTAATCCTAGCACTTTGGGAGGCCAAGACGAGTGGATTGCCAGAGCCCGTGGGTTCAAGACCAGCCCCGGCAATATTGGCAAGATCTCATCTCTACAATAAATTTTTTTTAAAAGTTAGCCAAGCTCAGTGGCTCAGCCTGTAATCCCAGCACTTTGGGAGGCCGAGGTGAGTGGATTGCCTGAGCCCGCGGGTTCGAGGCCCACCTGGGCAAATTTGTGAGACCTCATCTCTACAATAAATCAAAAATTAGCCGGGCGTGGTAGCGCATGCCTGTAGTTCCAGCTCCTTGGAAGGCTGAGGCGGAAGGATCACAGGAGACCAGCAGGTCGAGGCTGTAGTGGTCGGGAGCGGCCACTGTACTCCAGTCTGGGTGACAGAGTGAGACTCCAACTCAAAAAAAACCAAGAAGAAAAAAGTTAGGCGGACATTGTGGCGTGTGCCTGTAGTTCTGGCTACGTGGAAGGCTGAAGTGGAAGGATCGTCAGAGTCCAGCATGTTGATGCTGGGATGGCCATGAGTGTGCCACTGCACTCCAGCCTGAGCGACAGAGTGAGACTCCAACTCAAAAAAAAAAGACCCTCATCCAAGGAGTATTTATTGAGTAATGTGTGCCCTAAGCAAAGAATACCAATGGAATATGTGCTGGTGGCCCTAAGTTGCCTAATTTAGTGCAAGAGACAGACCATTACAGCATAATGTTGAGGCCACTGATAACAGAGGTATCCAGAGGGCTGCAGGCTGTGGGAGGACACATGGGGGCCCCAGCTCTGCCTGAGGGTGTCAGGGAAGAATTCCTAGAAGTGTCTGCAGTAGATCTTAAAAACTGAGCAGGAAAATGTGTCCCAAGCAAAGCCAACATCATGTATGATTGGGAGGCCTGAGAGAGCCTGGCACTCAGGTAACTGCAGTTAGATGTAGCTGCTACCTTAGATATGAGGGCAATGTGAGTACTGAGGTGGGAAACGTGGGTGGGGGTCATGTCACAAAGAGCCATGCCGTCAGGACCTACCCTGAAGTCCTAGGGAATCACTGAGGGATTTTAGGCAGTAAACAAGAGGCCAGGTGCAGTGGCTTATGCTTTTAATCCCAGCACTTTGGGAGGCCGAGGCAAGGCGAGAGGATTGCATGAGCCTACGGGTTTGAGACCAGCCTGGGCAACTTGGTGAGACCTTGTCTCTATGATAAATCAAAAAATTAGCCAGGTGTGGTAACGCCTGTAGTTCCAGCTACTTGGAAGGCAGAGGCAGAAGGATTGCCTGAGCCCAGTAGGTCGAAGTTGTGGTTGCCGTGAGTGTGCCACTGCACTCCAGCCTGGGCAACAGAGTGAGACTCTGACTCAAAAAGAAAAACTAACTAGAGTTTTAATTACATGCCAGTGTGTACACAGACACCCATCATAATCATCTTACCTTGGGATCACTAGAGAAAAAGGACTTAGCTTCAGCCTGAGGCTGGGAAAGGTCTGCAGTGCCTTCTGGATAAAATTTGCCACCTTGCCAGGCATGGTGGCTCACACCTGTAATCCCAGCACTCTGGGAAGTGGATTCTAGAAGATTGCCTGAGCAACGCGGTGAGACCTCATCTCTACAATAAATCAAAAAATTAGCCGGGTGTGGTAGCACATGCCTGTGGTTCCAGCTACTTGGAAGGCTGAGGCAGAAGGACGGCCTGAGTCCTGCAGGTCGAGGCTGTGGTGGCCGTGAGTGTGCCACTGCACTCCAGCCTGGGCAACAGAGTGAGACTCTGACTTTTAAAAAAAAAGTGCCACCTTGTTCTTCCTCCCTTCTCTATCCTCTAGGTTAGTGGAACAGATGGTCAATGTGGGTAAGTGAAAGAAGTCTGAGATGGAAGGGAGGCTGCCAAGGCAAGAAGATAGGGGTGAAAATTAAGACTAGGTTCTTCAAGGGGAATCCACAAGGCTGAAGGTTAGGGAGAGTGACGAGCCTGTGGCCTGGTGAAAGTAGCGACACTTTTTTTATTGAGTCAGAATCTCACTTTGTCACCCAGGCTTCAGTGCAGTGACACACTCATGGCCACCACAGCCTCGACCTGCTGGGTTCAAGCAATCAGCCTCAGCCTTACAAGTAGCTGGAACTACAGGTGTGCACCACCA